GTCTGTTTCTGTATGAAAACAGGGAAAAGGCAGGTCAGGGACATGGGTGGAACCTGGAGCCCTTACATGGGGAGTTGAGTGCGCAGCAGGGAGAACTTCTCAGAAAACCCTAAAATTTGTGACATTTGACTCAACTCTGCAGGTACTAGGGAGAGAGTGTCTCTCCCAGCATCTCCTTTGGCCCCTGGGTCCCTCTGAAAGGGATGTTCCCATGTCTGTCATGGGCAGCATGTTCTGTTATTCATGGGTTCTGGAAATTCAGACCAAGTGCATCAGGAGCACCAACCTGACAGAGATACCCAGGGAGGAAAAAGAAGCAAAGATGTTAATGCACCAAGTGAGCAGACAGCCCCTCACAGGGACATTCATTTCCCCTGGTGGCGGATTTCTGGGAAAGTCACAGGGGCTGAACATTAACTGATCCACTGACATGGAAGCTCAGGGCCTGTCTACACATGGATCTAACCCAGCAATCCATGATCCAGGAAAAACACAAACAAGCCCAACCTCACGAAGGCCATAAAGGAGTCTGCCTCCTAACACAGCCCTCCCACTGCCAGTCCCTGCCGGTTCATAACAACAGGCACCTACCAGATACTCCTGGCTTTTCCCCTCTGCTGTCGTTTTCCTTCCTAGCAGCTTTTCTCTCTCTTCCCTCAGAGTCTTCAAATGGGCCTCCAATTTTTCCTGAAGAAACAGAAATAAGCACCAGAGTAAATCCCATAAGATGTTGGGAGCCTATTTGTCAGTTACAGTATTTTTAACCTGACAGACAAGGCCAGTAGCAGACGTGGGCTCTCCTGTGGGTAGGACTTTCTCATGGGGTCTGCCGGGAGTGGCCGCCAGGTAGGGACTCCCAGCAGCTCCAGACTGACATTTGCTACTGGGGCAAGTAGGCACTGCTGGGGACAGCGGGGAGTTTAACCAGTAACTGGCACCGATAAACATTAATTCATCAGTTAACCAGTTTGAACTCTGGCTACAACCCAGTCAAATCCCAGTAGTGCCTGGCATGGCCCTGCGCTGCCTGGAGCCCAGCTATGGGTGGATTCAAGGCGCTTGGGGCCCCACAGCATCCAGCACAGTGACCTCCTCTAGTGCTGGCTGCTGCATCTGGGTTTAACTGTTCATATAGCAGCCCAGAAATTCAGCATCTCAGTGGGAAACCAGCTCTCCTTGGTGGGCCTGTAGCAAGGCGTCTTTCCCTCCTAAGGGCCACACTTCATCATTGTTCAGTGATGTGAAGAGGCACAGGGAATGCAGCCTAGTGGTTAGTGTAGCCTTGGACTGAGCCTGGAGAGAGCAGGATTCGGGCCTATACTCTATCACTGATGTGCTTGGTGACCATGAGGGAACTTGCTGCCTCACTTTCCCTTCCCACTATTTGTCTAACTAGACGGTGACATGCTCACTGTCCCATTCTGGGTGTTGTGCAGGGCACACATGCCTTTGTGGGTCTATAAGGCAAATGACAGATTACTACTGCTTCTCAGCCAATCAGTAACAGCTTGTAACCTCCTCTTCTCCAGTCCTAAGGTAGCTCACTCCCATAGACTGGCCTGCAGCTCCTGTAATCTAAACCAGTGTTTCTCAGCTTTTCTTTTTTTATAAAGTACCCCCAGTATCTAGAGTTTTCAAACACACAATTTTTCTTCTACCATTGCAACACGTTTGTTTAAATAATTTAACCATAGCAGGGCAGGCAGTGAAATTTTTGGGTGTAAGAAGTACAAAAATAATAAAGTGCTGTAAAACTTAAAACAAGAATTCGGTTTTCTCCAAATTTCAGTTGTGTTGATGTACCCCCCAGACTTCTCTCAAGTACCCCTAAGAATACTCATACCACTGATTGAGAAACATTGATCTAAATCTTTCTGATTGTTAATACCTTCCTTTATGTTAAAACCCCTTCTGTCACCAGTGAAGGCTGGGTTTCAGGAGTCAGAGCCTCAGAGAAATATTTCCCACATCAGGTATGTGTAAAGACTTGATGTAAGTTGCCACAAAGCCAGAGCATTTACTTTTTACAGCATCTCTTGTACCATGAAGGCTTTAAAGAGCCTTGGCACATCTGTGCCAGGTAACAGTCAGTGAAATTAGCCTGTAACTAAAATCCAACATTATTTCCTATTACACTGGACAGCAACTCTGTACCTTGTACTCCTGAACAGCTTCCTGTAACAGCACCACCATGTAAGCCTGGGATCTGTCACAATCCACACAGATGGCAGTTTGATCCTCTTCACAGAACAGCTTCAGAGCCTTCTGGTGCTCTCCACACACCCCATCCCATCTTGCTCTCTCTGCTGCCTGGAAACTCAGTGGCTTGGCTAGTTCCACCACATTTGCCAGCTGCCAATTGGGCCGGAGGGGTCCCTGCTGCTCAGTGTCTCTGCACTGAGGGCTGAGGGGGGCCTGGCAGAAATTGTGCCCACACTCCAGAGTGACAGGAGCTGTGAAATCCTCCAGGCAGATGGGATGAAGCGCTTCCTCCCAGAGACTTTCCACGGGGCTCTCTGCAGCCATGGCTGCCTCTGGGCTGGATAACAGGGGCCCTGTCACTTTCCTCAGCTCAGCAATGGATGGGCAGGTCCAGAGGGCAGTACGTGAGGTACCAGAACTGATGATACCAAAAAAATCAAAATTAAAAACCAAAAAAGCCCCAAAAACTTTACTCACCCACTGCCCCCGCCAGGGCCTCCATTGGGCCCCCTCAGCCACCTGCCCCGGCCAGAACCCTCCCCCCTCTCTGCGCCCCTG